ATATATATATATATAAAAAACTATACGTTTATATAAAATTCCGTCATTTTCTTTCCAAAATTAAATCTCCCAAGGTCAATAGTCACCAGCGAAACAATTTCTGAAAAATGGCAACCTTAGGTGTTTCCAAGAATGAGGGAAGTAAGTTACTCTAATTAAGCAGCCCTACCCTCCGAGCTTCCTCCGGCATCAAAGCTACCGCCTAGATAACAGTTTCGTTGCCAGTAACGTAGTACCAAAAATGTTGGTTTGTGACCAAATTTGGACACTAACATTTCGGAACATCGCCAAGCTCCTTCCCCCAATACCATTTTTTTCCTTCCAACTCATCTACAGTGTGTTCATTAGAAATTTAGGAGCAGTAGCAAAGTACAGTATGTCCTGATGTACAAAGATACCAGATTAAACTACCTTTCGACAAAATTCACTTCTGCACAAAATTCACTACTTAATCACTTGTTTTCCAAATGAACTCATCAAAAAGTGTATATTCCATTTAAATACATGTTTTCCTGAAGAACAAAGCATAAGATAAAATTACCACAACGATGCACCTTGGTCATAATAAAGGTGTCCAAAGCAGTGTTAGATTTTTTTCTATACATCAAAAATGAAAAACAAAGACTTAACTCATAAACATTGCTAGTAACATACATTTTCTTTATATTATTATTATTATTATTATTATTATTATTATTATTATTATTATTATTATTATTATTGTTTTGTAGCAAATAAACAATTGTGTAACATCGAGCAAAGTTGAAAAAGAAGTTTGCACGACTTTGTACTTGTGTTGCATTCTTATCTGTTTGTGTTTGTTGGTGAAATTGGATTTGTCAATATTGGAAAGTGAAGATTGTATTTTAAATATAAATCTATTTTATATTGAACTTTCATTTGTTTTTTGTACACATTTGACATCATTAACTTTGTCACATTTCAATGCAATTTGAATTTTTTTTATTTTATACAAAATAACGTTAAAAAATAATTAAAATCGATAAAACATTAATTTTTTGTTAAACAGGTGGGTTTATTTGCGCTGAGGAAAATTCAGCCAATCCTAGTCCAAACATAGTCTCTGTCCTACATAAAATAATAAATTGCCTGTCAATTATTACAAGGAAGCAATATTTGACTTTTCCTTGATCAAGAAGCTTATAATTTTTCTTTCATGCTTAATCTTTTAACCAGTATCATTTTCAATATTATATCCAATAATAAACAAACAATTATTAGGCATCTTATAGTAAAAGAGCAGAAGACCCTAATTTTAATATTGCAATCCTTTAAAGCAATACGTATAAACCATACTCATATTTTTTAAAATTCCTAGAACAAGCAGAACAATCGATTATCTATGTGAAAAATAGTATCCCTAAACAATATCCAAAAAAAATTTCGTGAATTATAACGCAAACTTAAAGTCTATACTGCTTGAAACTGATATTTTTTTATTTGATCTTAGAAGAGAGAACAGTCACTAATAATCAGCAATTACAGAACAGTCAATAATTACATATATCAGAATTTCTAATTTCTGTTCCAATTTTTTTCTGTAGGATTATAGGAATATTATGCGTGCTTCCAAAAGTTTTAACTGTGCTAACATAGTATCATTCATCTTGAAACACAGACTTCTAATTATAAAAAATGTCTACAAATTATTAACATATTTAAAAATATCTAACTCTTAAAACATATTAAAAATCGTTATCGTGTAGTATTTAAAAATATAAATGCATATCTACTTATTAAATTCATGGTAACAATCATTCTAACATAGAAAAAAATAAATATTAATAAGCAAAACCTTTAAAATCTTGATTTTGCATGAATTTGAAATTAATTTTTATATAAAAATTTAACACTGGTATCATATAACATTGTGAAAGGAAATTTACTTTTTCATTCTACCTATACGAATACACATGCATTATAGTATTCAGTGTCAGATACTCTTGGCATATTTCATTTTCATATTTCTTTAACTTCACCTACCATATAATTATACATTTAGAACACATGTATAACATGGCTCAAATAACAAAAACAATAAAAGGCTGTTTTTGTAAGTGGGGCATGATAATTAGCCAACCATAATCAAAAGATTTAAGGCAATGAACTTTGCCTCCAAACAGTTTTGGACAGATGCCAAATCAGCTCAGATTCTATCAGTTTTGTAGAAAAAGTTCAAGTCAATGGTCAAACACACAACACCAACTATGTTTGTAAATTAGACATGAACAGTGTGGATTTGTAGTCTTGCAACAGAGAAACTACTAACACAATAGTGAAGAAATTGAATAAGAAACATAATTAAATAAGAATTCTCTTACCTTATAGTTTTCGAACCCTGCCAGATGTTCATTCGTCAAATATCGCATTTCCATTGTCAATCCTTTTAGCGTTTAACGTAATTAGTGTTATTAAATTTCTTGATCAACACACGTCCATGAAGCCGCAATAGCAATATCAGAGGTTTCGCCTCAGTAGGGCATGTTTCAAGTTATTTATTCCCATCTGTCATGCCAGTAACACAACTAAGTTAACAGAAAATATTCCACAAAAATTTCCAAAAATGTGTAGTTAATGAACACACTTAAAATATTTGCGGCAAATAAGCACTTTACGCCATGGTAGTGTAGTAAGTTGTGCCACTCGTGCCGCAGAACGACCTCGTTTGGCCAGCGTGTAGAAAGCAATAATCACTACGTTATAATTAGAAACGTATCATGTGAGAGAGCATGAATGGGTTTTACTACAATCATACAACCCCTGAGGCCAGTAGGTCACATGCAACGTTCACAACTTCGCAACCTTATTCCAACTCACACCAACCAACACACAAATGCCCACAACGCCTCCTGTCCACTCCTGCTACCCTACTTCAAACCTCTGCACCTATAGCAGCAATCCACAGCAAACTGCAAACTGCTGCAAGGTTCACGTTTGTGTAGATACTGTGGCATTCTGTCTTAATCAGGTTCACCAACATATCATTTATGGTAACGCGAGTTAAATATGAAATTTAAAATCATTTGCATGCTTTGACAAACTCAAAAAGTGTGTTTTAAATTCAGTTCGTGCTTATTTACAGAAATATAAAATAATTGAGAATAACCAAAAAGTGTCCATCCAATGCTCAAACGACGAGGTAAACAACTACCATGTTGAGAACACTTGCCGATACTTTTTTGTGAGTGGACATGGCCGCGCGCAGTGTTGGGTCGAGTGACAAGTATTCAATTTTGTTACCTACGTATAATGAAAAAGATAATCTTCCTATTATCATTTGGCTTCTTGTCACTTATATGGACAAATCGTAAGTGAAATTACATTGATTTGTACAGTTTTTCAGTTACTTTGCGGACTAATTTAATGTTACACGTCACTTCTGCAACGTTGGCTGACAGTCCCTATCGTTTAATTCATAGCTGTCCACGGTTTATTTTTCTATAGATATTATCGTTTATTTCAGGGGCTTTAATTATGAGATAATAGTTATTGATGATGGGAGTCCAGATGGCACTCTTGATGTTGCAAAACAATTGCAGAATATTTATGGGGAGAGCAAAATATTGTTGAGGCCAAGACCCAAAAAGCTAGGGTTAGGTACAGCATATATTCATGGTATGAAACATGCTTCTGGAAATTTCATTATAATAATGGATGCAGATTTATCCCATCATGTGAGTATAATTTCTTTCTTGTAGTTTTACATGTAATCACATACTGACATTGATTTGTTTTTCCAACAGCCAAAATTCATTCCAGAATTTATTGAAAAGCAGAAGCTGTGTAATTATGATCTTGTATCTGGCACTCGATATATTGGTTCTGGAGGTGTATATGGATGGGATTTAAAGCGAAAGTTAGTTAGTAGAGGAGCCAACTTCTTAACACAGTTATTACTGAGACCAGGAGCCTCAGATCTGACAGGAAGTTTCAGGTATAAACTTTTTATGCTTTTTAGTATGTTGATGTTGTGATTATCATGTATGGGTAAGTAATTAAATTAAATTGTAACTAAACGATGAGTTTAAAGGGTATGTTATAGAGTCGCATTATAGTGAAGTAGAGTAAAACCTGTCCTAGGCAGAACCTGGATATGGCAAAAGCCTGCTATCACTGTAAAAAAAAGTTTCAGAACAAACTATTGTTCAATGTAAACTGGATAATTCAGAAACCTGTCTAACACAGAAATGGAAAGGAAGTTTTAGTACGACTATTAAAAATTCTGGATCAGACAGAAAAAAAATTGTTTTAAAATTAAACGTCTTGTATGTGTGGTGACTTTGTACCAAGAGACTCAGAGCTGTGCTTGCCCATTCACTTTCACAGCAATCCTCACTCGAACATTGTATTTCCCACACTACTTGTGCAAAAGCCAATGTTTATTTGTAATAGCACTGACATTCACAACCCCTTGAGAAAGAAAGGAAAGCTGTGAAGAGTAATCCACAATTCTTGTAATGTATGCTTTGGGCACAGTAGTTCTGAACATTTATTGTTGTTCAGTCTGACAAGTTGCAGGTATTGTGTTAATAAAGTGTTTATGATGTCAGCCAGCGAATTGAAATCATTAATTCTGTCAGGAAATTAGCCTAATAGAAGAACACAAACAATGCAGCAACTCTGTCAAGGTTCTGATAAAAAAAACAACATGAAGATGGGAAAATTCAAGTGTATAATACCTTAAAAACAAAGACAAAATCAAGAATGAGCGCTTGAAAGAAATTTTAATAGGTGATTGCCACAGTATTCACGAAGACCTAGGAGAATAAACCAAAGCCAAAATCATCAGATGAATTCTTCTGTTTGTGTAAATTTTGAATAAAATAACATTTCTTTTGCCTTTTTGGAGTTCTTTGTTCCATTAAACATCATGTTGCAATTCTGTATGTATTTTTTGTCCCCCTCAGGACATTTTTGTTTCTTTGAAATATAGTTTTTAGGTGAGATAAAATACTCATACACCATATTCCATTTTCAATAATTAGTTTTTTCTACATTGACGGTTATTATTGCAAACCTGAATAAGCTGAAAACCTGTACAAGACAGAAAAAAATGTTGGACCCAAAGAATTCCGGCTTAGAGAAGTTTTACTGTAGTGCTTTGATAAAAATGAATTGTGTGTTTTCTGTTTTATTATTCATGTATATTAGGGATGGGTGATTTAATCGTTATTAGTACAACAATCGATTATTTTATATAATTAATCAAAAAATTGAAATTATTATTTTTACACTGATTAATAGACACATAGATTATTTTTTCTGATTTTTAGCTTGATTATTTTAATTCTAATATAATTTTCAAGATGAGCAAAATATGAAGGTACATCTCTATTTTTGATTTTCAGCAACGGAATTCCTGAACTTATTATCTCTCTCCAACTGCAAAATATAATAGAGACAAACATACGCAATTAATTTCATGTTAGTAAAACTAATAAAATGAAAAGTCACTATGAATGTTCTAATATATTAGTTGTGGTATTATATTCAGTATGATTGAGAAAGCGACAGAATTTTCAATTTTTCCTATAATTGTCCTCAACTAAATGCATTGTTAGATTACAATTATTGGAGTTACAGTTGTTTGTCTCATGAGTACGTGTATGGAATGAATATTATTTAAATAAAAAATAAACAAATATTTTTAATTATTGTGCTGAAAATGTAGAATGATTCGAATTATCGTGATATGGTATTATAGGTTTTCATAAAATAAGTTACTTAGGATTAATTAATTTAAAAATAAAAATTAATGATTTTACGCAATAAAACATAGGGAAAATTAATTGATTACTATGGAACTATTATTTAATGCATATTAATCTAAGTGTGAAAAAAAAAAATTTTTTTCTAATCACCCATCCCTAATTTGTATTTATTCTGTATGTCCCACTTCTTTTACTTTTATTTCATTTATAAACAAGTTTTGTAAGCACTTCATAGTGTTTCTAGTTCAATAGAATCTCAAAAAGAAATAGTCTGCATTTCCATTTCATTGCTGTTGCCTTAGTAAGTGTGATTTTCTGTTTTATCCAAAAATATACTACTATCTAAATGTTAAGTTTCTGAAAACAAAGCCTGCTGGATTTTGCTAATGAACACAACATTTAAAAAGATCTTTAAGAATTCTATGCTTTCAAATAATATTCTTGGCTAATAGATTTCATTGTGTGCTAATCATGCTTGATATGTCTTTTTCAGATTGTATAAGAAAGATGTGTTAGAAAAACTTGTTGAATCATGTGTGTCAAAAGGATACGTGTTCCAGATGGAAATGATAATAAGAGCACGCCAGTTTGGCTACTCGATTGGAGAGGTATAATATTATTCTTTTTTAAGCTAAAAGAAACATGTTAAGCAAAGGTGAAAATATCTAGTAACCTTCAGATTCAGTTGGGAGTGGGAAAAGTAATTTTCAAAAGAAGCATTTTAGGAAATCAAAATATGTGTTGTCAGAAATTTAAACTATTACTTCAAAACTTTGGTTAAAGTAGAGAATGAGGTGATGACGGAGGGGAGGGGGGGCAGTGGGTGTGGAGACAAGGTTCTCCATAAGGCTAAATGTACGGGAAAATACTTGAAGGAAAATGAAATAGATTGTAGCACTGTCACAGGAGAATTTTCTTTACCGATTAAGTCTGAACCAAGGGGCTGATTTTTGGTCTGTAAATGGAACTTGACACCATTTTAAAATAGAATTTACACTACGAAGCCCTTTTTCCAAACAACTGGCAAAAACTCAAATTTGAAGTTGGTGCTCGAACTTCCAAGATAAAATTAAAAAATGTAGGCTTATAGCTCTATGGCAGCAAGCTTCCTAAATCTAACACTTTGTCAATCATGCTAATCAAATGAAAAGGAGTGTCATAAAGTGAAATTTGGGAAAACACCTTGCCCCACCCTACCCCTTCCAGGTCATTGCATCACCGTTCTGTTGTGGGCCCTTTCTTGGCATGGTGGCACGGCCAGTCCCAGCAGAGTTTGCAGTGCAGGCAAGCCAGACAGTCGGTTTATGATTTCGTCACTTTGCATCTCTATATATTTTCCCCCATGTATCTAACTGTCTCGCTAATGGTCTCGTATCATCTGTAATAGTAGTATAAAACTATTTATATTGTTTACATATTTCCGTCTTACCTCTAATACCGCCATAAAATTGTTTGATGCATTATTAAAAATATTGATTCCGATTTGGAACTGAATTCAAAAAGAAAATTGAACTAATTGTGTAAACATCATCAATATTCCATCTCGCATCTTATTTTACATATATTTTACTACTAAGATCATCCGTTATCATTCCAGCACTGGAAACAATGAACAGATACTACATACGAGCTCTTTTATACTACCACTAAATTTTTGATCTCAAAATGGTGTTTGTCTCCTTAATAGGATTCACTTTGTGAATTCTCTTTTCCCAAGCAAGATAGCTGAAGCCAATTTTAAAAGTTTTTTCGTACTTTCAAACAAATTTGAAAAAATTGTTAAATAGCATGCTGTCATTGTCGAATCAAATTATTCCTTTCATGAATATGTTAGAGATACTTATGCCAGAGGGATTTTGCTAAGTGTTTTAATTTTGAAATTAAATTTATATGATGTTTGCATTTACAATCCTTGTGCATTTGCAGTTCTTGTGCCAGTATGAACAGCTCACTGAAAAAAATGCACATACAATACATGTAGATTATTTTACAAAACTTGATGATGTTAGATGATTGAATTTGATACAAAAGTTTAAGTTCCAAGTAAAATATTTTCTGTTGCACAACTGTTTCTATACAATTAGAGACTACAATAAGCATCCAAAAGGAGAGTAATATTAATTTTAACAGTGACATTTAATGTATTATTTACCATTTTGACTGTATAATTCTAAAGAACCTGCAACAAGTTGTTCTTCAGCGTCTAGGTCAATGAACCCATCTCAATCGGGTTTTTGACCAGTTTTCCTGATCCTGAGATGACCCCTTGTTTTGCTTGTGGACATAATGTAACTTCAAATTAAGTCCTGCAAGTTTGTCTTTCTCCTCGTAGCATGTCACACACAGTTTTTAACTGTTTTTGACATAAATAAATAAATATTGTCTCCTAGTCCAAATCTCAGAGAGGGCTCGATGATAATTCTGCCAGTTTTTTTTTAACAATGGCAGTATGTATACGTATAAGACTGGGTATCAAAAATAGTATTGAACGTGGGGATAGGCTATTTGGAGTAATGTCACCTATTTGTTGGTGCCCGCCCCAGTGAAGCGCCTGCAAGATCCAATCCTTCACAGCGGCTGGACGCACAGAGAAATTGAATGCTGGGAATGCAATAAAAGGGCTTCTTTGTAATGGTATGCACAACTTATTGAAGATAAATGAAAGCAAAATGTATATACTCGTCTTATCTTTTTATGCAAGGCTGAAAATCTTAATTTATTCTGCGCTTCTGGTTCAATTAATTTTGGCTTACTTTGGTGCTGCCTTGTGGTGTTGACAAATTGAACTAGTGTCGGTACTTAGCCTTAAGCGCTCTGAAAGAAGTTAATAAAACTTAAAATAGGTATTTTTCATGTGTTGTCAAGTTTGGAGATGCCCTCATGGAACGAGAGAAACCCCTCAGTTGACCCCAAATGTCCAGAACACTTCAACGAAAGAAAAATGGCCCCTTTCTTGCTGCACTTCCACTCGAAATGATCACACAATTCCTTTCTCTGGTCCAACCTCAATGGACACTTACAAAATTTAATCAGTCAAGTAAATCCTGCAGCAAACAAAACACTTTTATTCTCACCATCATAGCATGAACACTAATTGGGGGGGGGGGGGG